TCGGCATGCAGGTAAAACACACCCACAATGAGTGCGATACATTCATCGTTGTGCTAAATGATAACCTACCTGTTCTCTTTCAGGTGTTTGGCAAAATCGCACTATTAGACGGTACAATGATCAACCGTAACAACAACTTCCAGACGTTTCCTCAAGCTGTTCTACTGCTGTTCAGGTAGGAAGTGTGAACACTTTGCTGTACGAGTTTCTGAGCATGTTTGTAAAGACACATACCTGTCCTCAGGTGTGCCACAGGCGAGGGCTGGCAGGAGATCATGTTGGGCTGTTTGTACGGTCAACGTTGTGACCCCAAGTCAGAATACCTACCTGGAGAGGAGTACACCTGCGGCTCTGGATTCGCTATTCTCTACTTCATGAGTTTTTACATGCTCTGTGCTTTTCTTGTGAGTATTCACTCTCGCTCAAACATGCATATGCATAGGCGCACACATCAACTTGCACATTCTCCAGTTGGGAAGACATCATTTTGATGCCAGATGCATTCATACTTTGGTCGGAGCAATGAAATTTGACAAGATTTTTGAACTCTACATGTACAAAATAAGGAATAAAGAATGCACATTGGGTGTGTTTTTGCTTTATGTTTTTATCCCATTTATGAATCGAATCATTATATATTCTATCATAAATGCACAATATTATGGAATTTCGTACATGCAACTTACAATTTTACTGTCAATATAAATGCTGTAGCCATTGTATCCACCATATATCTCGCTCACATGCAACTCAGAAACTCTGGGTTTGAAGAAAATCCCACTTGAAATTATGACTTTGTGGTGGCATTCTTATGCGTTCAACTCGTAAATATGATCAACGTGCCATATGTGGTCTTTTGCAGATCATTAATTTGTTTGTTGCGGTGATCATGGACAACTTTGACTATCTGACCCGTGATTGGTCGATACTTGGTCCGCATCATTTAGACGAGTTCAAGAAGATCTGGGCTGAATATGACCCCGAGGCAACGTAAGCCAAATAACATCCAGAATTGGACACTTTTCAACAGGATATTACATTTTGACTTGATTTATATCTATCAGGAATTGATTGAATAGTAAAAAAGTGTCTCTTTATAAGAGTGATTAAAAAATAAAAGGGATTGGTAATGTAATCCAATAAAGATAACTAATATTATTGCATTTAACAATTATGTGCAAAGATGGTATCTCACTATAAGACCAGGAATGTGTATTCAAAATGTAAAAATGGTCCATTTTGATTGCAGGTTGATTTTAAACGAGATGCATCTGATTATCTGTGTTATTCTGATGTTGTTCTGTAGGGGGCGCATTAAACACCTGGATGTCGTGACGCTGCTGAGGAGAATCCAGCCACCGCTTGGGTTTGGAAAGTTTTGCCCCCATCGTGTTGCCTGCAAAGTGAGACACATTTAACACGGAAACACATTCATATGCACATACCAGTATAATCATTCATTCTCGGTGTTACCGTGCTGGTTTCCAGAGACTGATTTCCATGAACATGCCTCTGAACAGCGATGGAACCGTGACGTTTAATGCCACGCTGTTCGCTCTGGTCAGAACTGCACTGAAAATTAAAACCGAAGGTTTGAGGCGTTATTTACGTCAAAATTTAATGTTGAATTAAATTCGATTGGCACTTTTTTGTAATTATTTGTGAAATTTACTAGCAATTTCTGAGTGAAAATTGTAAGCTGGCGCAGATCTGAAATACGTTTATGAAAATGATGTTCATACTCACCCATTAAAGCATAAATTCTCTGAATTTTCATCCGTCAGGTAATTTCGAGCAGGCCAACGAAGAGCTACGTGCGATTATTAAGAAGATCTGGAAACGCACCAGTATGAAACTGCTTGACCAGGTCATTCCACCAATCGGAGGTAATGCGGTAACACCAATAAAGCGGACGATACCGAATAATAAACTGCAATAATATTAGCATTATTAAATGTTTCCTAAATGACAGACGATGAGGTAACAGTGGGGAAGTTTTACGCCACGTTCCTGATCCAGGACCACTTCAGGAAGTTCATGAAGCGCCAGGAGGAATATTACGGATACCGGCCCAACAAGAAAAACAAGAACACCACAGAGATTCAGGTCACACGTCTCTTCATCTCCGCATGCGTTTCATGCGACAATCAGAATCGCTGCGCGATTAATCGAATGTGATTTCGAATCGAAAGCCGGTTCTGTGATTAGTAGTAAATCTCAATCACGTGCTTTCAGATGGAGCAGCATTTACTACACAGAGCCGTAGTTCACTGACAAGCTACGCAAAAAAATATTTTTTTTTAAATCACAGACAATATAATCGCATGATTATGAAAACGAAGAAATCGTTCACGATTATGAAAGCTGTTTGCGTAGCTTCTCAGTGAAAATTATAATAATAAGAACTCAGATAAACCATATAATGTCGTAGTCCTGTGTTTATTAGTCACGCTGAATCAATGAAAGCATTTAAATCGTTTTTATTCAGCGAGCGCTATAGGGATTTCCTGGGTTTCTTCTGAGTTTCTCTGGCCTTCGGATGGAGATTTACTGCTGATCACAGAACCGTGCTTCACTGACAAGATTGCGATTTCATTGCGATTTATCGTGCAGCCCTAGTCTCAGTCTCTCATTCTCTCAGGCGGGTCTGAGGAGCATCGAGGAGGAGGCCGCGCCTGAGCTTCAGCGGGCCATTTCTGGAGATCTTCTGAACGACGAGGAGATGGACCGAGCCATGGACGAGGCCGGAGAGGAGGGGATCTACCGGGTGGGTTGAGAATAAAACAGATCAGAGATGATAAAATTAGGTAGAGAAAGATTAAAGGGGTCATATGATGCTGCTAAAAAGAACATTATTT